TTTATACTCAATCTTAATTAATTGTTAATTTTCGTCCATCAAACGACTGTAATTAATTAGATAAATCATATTAACTAATTATTAATTCTCAATAAATTATAACCATCAGATATGAAAAAAAATAATAATTAAAATTAGGTGTAAGATTTATTATTTTTATACCGGTGTAAAAAAATCATGACCTGTATATATGTGTTTGTGTGTATACTTTGGTACATTGCTCATGCATTTGTTTTTCTTATATTAATAAAAGTTGATACTAATGTTATTGGAGTTGGAGGCATGCACACATAAACAAAGCGATCAAGCTGGTGCTGTGAAATTGAAAGACAGCGCCATCAGAATGTGCATGTAATTGAGCAAACATCAGCTTTTGGTCCCAAATCTAAGTAGATGGATTTTAAATAAGAGGACCAGGAAATGGTGCCAGCGATGTACGCATTACATGATAGATATATGCATGTCAATTGATTGATGCGGGGTTATCTTATTAAAAAACAAACAAACAAACAAAACCACTTAGGTGTTTGATGTTATGCTTCAATGCACTTTAGGCGTGTGCGTGTGCGAAATGAATAAAAGGTGTTAAGATGGTGAGATTTGCACTTCTTGCTTCAAACAAAATCACATAGTGCTGCCAAAAAGGCAAAGGGTAGAGCCAATTGTTATGTGGCCTTTTAGACTTTAAAAGTTTAACCACCAAAAACAAAGGGGTGGTTCCTGTTCCTACTAACTTTCCCAAAGCAGTGGCACTTGCAACAAGAACGTGACTTTAAAACTAATCGTTACGTATAAAAGAAATCAAACTTAATAAAAAAGAAAAGGGGTGCGAGGTAGGAAGGACAAAATAAATGTTTAACACATATCAACATGCATAAGCTTGGCACGTGAGTAAAGGATAATTGGGGGATAATTAGGTTTAGGCAATGATGAAGTGGGACCCGTGCGCACGTGTGAGGGGAGAGGGTGGGGTTCACGTGACATCACAAGAAGACAGTTGGGAGAGTGGAGCAATGGAGAGGAAGAAGGTTGGTTTGTCAATTTGTCCATCAGGTTTGCAGTTAGAAAAGAAAAGCAAAGTGTTTCGTTTCCCTCCCTCAATTGAGTGTTTGAGTAATGAGTAGTGAATTGGAGTCTTAAGGTTACAGAGCTAAGTGTGGCTAGTTGCATTCAAAAGAAGATAATTTCCACTTTCTCCTATTACGTGTTCAATAGTCCTACTTGCAATCCAAGGAACCAAACAAATGTCATTTATTAATGGTATTTATTTATAATTGAATCTTCCAATTGAACCCTTCTAGTAATCAATATATTTTTCTCATTAAAAAACTAGATTTGATTAAAGCTAACCATAGTTAACACCAAAGGGTCGAGAAAATGAAGATTCTTAATATATTTATACTATCCATGGTATAAGTAAGGTGAGCTCTTTATGTATTCTTGTTAAAGTCTACACTTATATTCAAGGTTGATTGTAAACGTCAATGACTTAATTAATTGATATAAACATCTGTGTTAGATGAATATTCAAATCATGCAATTTTCTTCTTGCTTATAGTAACATAAATATTAATTGTTTGCACCAAAAAAATATATATTAATTATTGCTGCGGTTCCTTTGAACTTTCCTCATTATTATTTTTTTTAAACTAGGTCAATGAAATCTCTTGTTAGCAGCAAGTCGTACTGGTAACATATGTGTGCAAAACCCTTACTTTTTTTCTTTTTTTGGAAATTTAGGGTTTAGGGTTTGCATACAGACACATAATAAACTCCTTACTATGTGTCTATATACACACCTCATATTAAGTTACTAGCATTTATTTTCAAAAGAAAATAAGTTTAATATTGGTTTTTGTCTTGCTCATTTGATTGCAATTTTGCTAACTAGAGGAATATTGTTTCCTTACAAATTTATATAATGTTTCTAGAGGAATATTGCAATGGTAATTGATCATTTCTAGCTTTTTGTATATTAGTGTAATTATTTCAAGACATATATATGTGTACGCTTGTTTAAACATCTTTCTGTCTCTATAACTTTAACTTTTTTTTTTTTTTTTTAAATATTCCAATTGGTTTATTGCTTTGCAACTAATCCGTTTCGGGGTGAGTCCAATTTTAAGCTAAGAAAGGTAGCTAGATAATGTAAGAATCACATACGAACGACCGTGCTACCAGTTTTGTGGGAAACGGAAAACGGAGATCTGATAAGCACACAAGGGGCAAAACTATATGTGAACTTAATTATACTAGTTTTCGGATCGATGGCAACATCAATCAATTGAAACTCCATATTCATATGGGGAAATATAGCACATGCATATGCCACGCAAACTGCTAACTATAAAAAGAAAATTGATTACTCATTTCCTTTGGAACCAACATGGAAACATGTGTTTCAATAAATATTAAAATAATAATGCATCACATTGAAAAAAATATTTTTCAAACAGTTACTTCTTAAAGGAAAATCAACCAATTAAATTTGTAGAGTTAATCCTTTCAGATTAATAGAAAAAAATTAAATGAATACAAAATTCTTGCTGTTGTTTGATATGATTGGCCTAAATTAGTTCATTTATTTGGTTTGAAAAATGGGTAACCTTTACTTCTTTATTTTTCAAAATAGTTGGATACGTTTCTTTCACGAAATTTGGAAGTGGTTAAGCAATTCTTTTTACTTTTAGTTTTTAGAAGGGGGAGTTGCTGCTGAAAATGATCTAAAGGGAGTGTATATTACATAGTGCTTAGTATGTTAAAAAACACGAAGAGCTAGATCTAGCTAATATGCAATAAATTGGAAACAAAAAAAACAAACAAGTCTTTTGGGGCATATGACTATGTATATGTAATATAGCTATGATTGCAAAATTTGTAGCCCTATATTTATTGATTGGTACCATTTATGATTTCGTAGAAAATCAAACCACCACAAAAGTTGTTGATATATTAATATATATTAGTTGTATATCTTACCTTTACGTCCTAGGAAAATTTTTGAAATAAAATTATCCTTCTAGCTAAAGGAGATATATGATAACATCTTACCTTTACCTTTATTACATGAAACTTTTTAATATGTATATACCAAAATGCAAACACGCGCATTTGTAAATATATATCATTTAATTCCCAGTAAAATTAAATGGGTACCTTCCTCCATTCAATCAGGCAATCAGCAACTAACATATTATTCATAATTATCCATTCTGATGAATGATTAGAAGTTAAAGTTAGCACTTAACACCATTCCAAGATGATAATTAAATGCAAGTAAAAGAAGGCGAAACATAAAAAACACCTGTAAAAATCAAAGGCTATACCAAAAGAGAAAATGAACATGGCCATCAGTGACAGCGCCAAACCTTAAAGCGGTTATGGGTGCTTTTCATAGACTATTATGTCTCCCACACATTTAAACCTAACTTGTCTATTTTGCCCCTCCAATGGCACGTGCCATCCATCCACTTCTTTTAGCCTTCAAGGCCCCGTTTGGTACCCCGTTTTTTTTTTCAATCCCCAGGAAAACATGCTATGACAAAAATGAATCCTGTATTTGGTTTGCAGAAAAGGAAATAATTCCATAGTTCAAAGTTATTCCAGCAAAGCTTGTTGTGTATAATGTACAGTACATAAAGCAAATATGAAACTCCATAAATATGATGGAACTCTTTTGATCCCGCGGAAATAAAAATTGAGGCAGAGAATATTGACGAAACTAGCCTTCAGTAAGATGGAACAATAACATCTCACAGCAAACTTTTTTCGTTGTCTACAAAAATAACGTAAACCTGAGGTTAATTTCGTAAAATAATATCTCTTTCCCACTAATATTTTACAACTAACCAAACACACATTCAGTAAAATTAACCATAAATTTTCAGGAAAATTTTATCATACCAAAAACCTTTTACTAATATTTCAGAAAATATATATTTTCTATTATATTTTGGTAATAATTATTTCCTGGATTTAAAAGAATTTTTTCTCTACCAAACATCCCCAAGAGTTTTGATATATCGGAAGCATCAAATTTTAAGTGGTACAAATTAATAAAAATATGATAATTAATTAGAAAAAAAAAATTATACAAATATCAATCTCATGGGAATAGGACCACTAAAAAATTTTCCCTTCCTTATTTGTCCAAATGTCTTTCTTCTCCTCTTCTTTTCATACCACACTTGGCTTGGGCTATTAAATAATGAATTTGTAGTAAATGAAATGACCTCAATGTCCCTACTTGTTACTATGCTCAAAAGTCCTGTCTGCAATGATTACACAGGGTATTATGGTCATTCCAACTAATAAAAAAGATGGGGTAGTTTGGATCGTTGAGATGACTTTGTACTGACCTTATCTTTATTTTTATTCCGTAGTTTGCGTTGGTTTCCAAAGGACGTATTCAAAGTTTCAAACAATAAAATCCAACACTTGGTGATGGCATTTTGGACATTTCATGGTACTAAAACGCCAAATCCAACTTGCATTATTAGAATATTATATTTATAAATTTTTTATTTATAAATTTATCAATGTATTTCAGAAAATATAAGAATAGAGAATTATATTTTCTTGAGTACATAATTAAATTTATAAGAATTTATAAATAAAAAATTTATACATGACCTCAAGTTAAATCCTCATAAAATATTTTTAAGGAATTAACATTTAGTTTTAAAGAACAACATTGAATTATGTTATTCTAATTAAAATAATAGTATTTTATGATAAGAAAAAGAGTTACATGAAATTTATGGTGGAAGATGGGAGATTTTTTAATTTAAATATTAAATGAAAAAAATAAATGATGCCCTTCTATTAATATTATCTTTGTTGTCAATCTTAAATAAGGGAATTCTCATCATCATTTCAGTGAATATTTTCTTTTATATGTTAATTTTGTGTGATATTGAAGAAATGAAAAATAAAAAAGACATTAAAGGAGGAGATGAAGAGCAAGAACAGTGACCGCTTCCCTTTCCTTTCTCTTCTCTCTCTGAGACGCAACACCGCGTTTAGTTGTGACGGATATATGAGTTCCCACCGAAGCCTCCGTTTTTAATTATATATTGTATGCAACACCCAATCTTTCTTTTTCCACAAGGTGATTTGCAAAAACACTCACTGAGCGAAAGAGAAAGAAAGAGACGAGAGACAACACACAGCGACAACAGAGAGAGAGAGAGAGAGAGAGAGAGAGAGAGAGAGAGAGAGGAGAGAGTATATGTATGTGAGTGTGCTTGGGAGAGAGAGAGAGAGAGAGAGAAGGAATTGAAGAAGCTTTCAATACCACAGAAGGGAAAACGATGTCTGAGAGCTTTACATCCTTTCATACTCTTCACAACTAAGAGGTACATGTGTGTGTCTGTGTATGTATATATATGTACATGAGATGATCAACAAAGCTGAAAATGATAAAAGGAAAAATAAATTACCATAGGAGAGGGGCCTAACAAAGAGCTTTGTGTTTAACTGTTTATCCATTCTCTCTTTTTCTCTCACACTCTTTAAATCCTTTTTTTTTTTTTTTTCTTCTTTCTATCTTTCTCTTTCCATTTTATAATTTCAACAAGTTTCTATGTATAATTGACTTTAAGTTACATGATGTGGGTGTTTTGTCAGATTTCGCTTATATATTCAGTGGGTGATCCTTGTCTATGATCAATTCAATTATTGAGCAGTGGTTGTTACAAGTTAAGAAGATGATGATGAGAAGCAAGATCTTAACATGGGAATAGCAACACCCTCACTTCCTTCCATTCTCTCACATTCAAAGATACACCAACACCATTCATTTCCTATCTTTGACAAACAAGACTCTTCTAATTCCATGTCCCAAGATTATCACCAAGGAATCTTCACCTTCTCGAATGGATTCGAGAGATCCGCCACCGTAAATCACCAAGAACACCATTCCAAGCAGCCACAACAACAACCACCACCACCGTTAGTGGGTTTAGTAGAAGAGGAATCCGGTGGCCTCCCAGTGTACGAAACCGCAGGGATGTTATCGGAGATGTTCAATTTCACTCCCGGGGAAGCAGAATTGTTGGAGCAACAGCAACCAATGACGACGACGTTTCGATCCTCAACAAGAGTGGGCAGTGGCGAGTGGTACGGTAACAGACAAGGGATGTTAACAGTGTCGGGACCGTTGGGAGATTCGAAGAATCATCATCATCATCATCAGAGCAGTGTTCATAACCGTGACAGTAGTAGTACCAGCAGCATAGTTCACCACAACCACAACCACCATAATCATAATCATCATCAGATGTCAAGTATTAATGCAGACTCAGCAGCTGCAATGCAGCTTTTTCTCATGAACCCACAAACAAGGTCACCTTCACCATCTCATCATCATCATCATCACACAACCACAACTCCTCCTCCTCCTGCTACATCTTCCACCCTCCACATGTTACTCCCCAATCCTAATTCAACTACTTCCATGCAAGGCTTCGGTGGTGGATCCGGACCAGCAGGAGGGGCTTTTGGTCAATTCACATGGGTTCCTGACACTATTCATCAAGGAGGAGTCACAAACACAAACAACAACCCAGTTGAGATTGGAAGCGTTGTCGAAGGACAAGGTCTTTCGTTGTCCTTGTCGTCTTCTTTGCAACACTTGGAAGCTGCTAAAGCTGAGGAATTGAGGATGGGGGATAGTGGTTTTCTATATTACAATCAAGGAGGTGGTGGTGGAGGACCCTCTTACAAAAGTCTTGGGGGTCATCATCATCACCACCATCAAAACCAAGCATTGCATATACAAGGGGGAATAGGACTAGGTGTGGTGAACCACCATGGACATGTTGGGTTTGGTTCATCGTCATCATCATCATCATCCTTAGGTATGGTTAATGTGTTGAGGAATTCCAAGTATGTCAAGGCTGCTCAAGAATTGCTTGAAGAGTTTTGCAGTGTTGGGAGGGGTCAGTTCAAGAAGAACAAGTTTAGTAGACAGCTCTCAAACCCTAATTCCAATCCCGGAGGTGGTAGTGGCGGTGGTGGTGCTTCTTCATCTTCGTCAAAGGATATTCCTCCTTTGTCAGCTGCTGACAGAATTGAACATCAGAGGAGGAAGGTCAAACTTCTAACCATGCTTGATGAGGCATGTAATCTTTCTCTTTCTCTTTCGTTCTCAACTTCTTTCATCCATCAAGAGTCAAGGTCCCCCATTATCTTTGTTTTCATTTTTTAAATTTTTCTTATTTGTTTTTGTCCATTAATAAAACACAATCTTCCAACAAGTATCTTGAATTCCAGAAGGGAAAAAGCCGGCTGGTATAGTAGGGTTCCACTCCTTTAGGATCAGTAGGTAAGGATTTGATCTTATTTTAATCGAAACTCATTTTTTAATCCTCCGATTCGATTGGTGGGAAGATTTTATAGTACTTTGAGATTTTTATTTTATTTTAAAAAAAATTAAAAAATGTTTGGTGAAAGTGTGAAACTGGGACACTAGTATTATAGGAGAATACGTCCATCAAGAAGTGACGTTTCTTCTGATTATTAAGACAGACCACAACAGAAGGAAGCCACTCCCACCAATCATTTATATTACATTGCAAGTTGTTAGAAATGCCACTGTTCCCTCATATCGATAACCCATCATAGTAATATTGCAATGAAAACCTTTGTTCATATATCATATGACCTAGGAGGATCACCGATCAGGAGAGGCGTCTTTTTTATTTTCTTAACTTTTTTTAATTTAATATTTTTATAACTATTTGTTTACACGGAAAAAAGCACAAGGACATTCTTTATTAGCATTCACAGTTTATATATACCTCCATAGCTGTTTTTATTTTAAATTCAGAAAGAAAAATTTCTGACCAAATTCAAATACTTAAGTGAGAAGTTGAGCACATCTATATATACACACACACACGTGTGTTTTTGTTTCAATATTTGCATGGGTTAATTCTCATATATCTCATTTTTAATTAAACTATACATGCCTATTTCTTTCCTCAATTAATACTTGGTTGGTCCATCCATTTTATCACTAACCGCACAATGGATGAGTAAATGAGAACATGCATGTACTTATCTATCTTCTACCTGTTACAAGTGGGTCTTTCAACATTTAATTGTAATAATTAATAACCGTATTATGATTCATTCAAGAAGGTTCTTCGGGTTTTACAGGTGGATAGGAAATACAGCCACTATTGCGAACAAATGCATATGGTGGTGAACTCATTTGATCTGGTGATGGGTTTTGGTGCTGCGGTTCCATACACTGCATTAGCTCAGAAAGCAATGTCTCGTCATTTTCGGTGTCTAAAGGATGCAATATCAGCGCAACTGAAGCAAACTTGTGAGGTGCTGGGTGAAAAAGATGGGGTGGGAACTTCAGGTTTGACCAAAGGAGAGACCCCAAGGCTTAAGATGCTTGAACAAAGCCTAAGACAGCAAAGAGCCTTCCACCAGATGGGGATGATGGAGCAAGAAGCATGGAGACCCCAGAGAGGATTGCCTGAACGCTCTGTCAACATTTTGAGAGCCTGGCTTTTTGAGCATTTTCTTCACCCGTACGTTCTCTCTCTCTCTCTCTCTCTCTCTCTCTCTCTCTCTCTCTCTCTCATTATTAGTTACATACAAAACAAGTCATACTTAGAATTGACCAGGTTGAGAATCTTCACATTTTTATTTTTGGTTATATCTTTTTAATTTAATATCACACTACCCTACCCTGAGTAAATTTTGGAGGAGGAAACGTAAAAGTAAACTAAATCACTCCCTTTAAATTCGGACTAGCCATGTTAAAGGTAAGGATAATTTTTGTACACAACCTTATACCTTATCTTATAGAGAGACGGATTACAGGATGTTTTAATCATTAAAGAATAATTTTATCATTACTCCAAATTTGTCCTCAATTTTCAACTAAAAAAATCGATTTGAAAAAAATTTGTAGCATAAGTAAATCGCCATAGTCTTTGAATTCTTGAAACATGAATGTAACTTAGGGTAAGATATTGTATGGGTAGGAGGGTTTCCTTTAACTTAGATGATTAGTAGAGAAATGTGATCTATTGGACTTAAAAAGAAGAGAAAAGGAAGTTAATATTGCAAGATTTTGAGGGAGAGGGATACCATGATATTATGATATTGAATATAAATAATAGGGTAAAAAAAAAAAAAGATAACACAAATACGGTAGATACCGTGATGAATAACTGGAAAAAAGTAGCAGAGCTACCGTTAATTAACAAAGGGGAAAAAAAAAAAAAAAGTAGTGGCAGAGGGAAAGACGGAAAGAGAGAATCTAAAAGCCATTATTCATGTGTCGTATGTATACGATCCTTTAGAACAGTCATTAATATTGCAGTGTCTTGGGATGTTAGCTCGCCAGGTAAAAGCTGTAAAAGATACATTACATGCATGTAAGCTTCCCTTTGTTTTAACTGCAAATTTTTTAGTATAAGTTACACTCTCTCTTAGTCTTGTACGTTAATCTCACTTATATTTTAGAGTTCAAATTTTTTAATAATGTAAGTCATTGGATACAAATAAATTAATGGTCAATATTGAATATAAAACTTCTAACTCTTACACCGGAGTAAGAATATCTTACCCTATATAAAAATAGAAATTTCATATTATATAAAATAAATTTTATTTGTTATGTATGTATAAAAGTATGTGAGGTCTATATTTTTTTTCTCTCTCTATTCTTCTCACATAATTCCATAATTTTTATGTGTGTATAAGATAAATTATCTCCTATAATATATAAAACATATATATATAGGGGAGGGTTACGTTTATAAATTTTTTTGTTTACAATTCTTACAACCTCAACTATATTCTATCGGGAGTACACTATTGGAGAGTATACTCTCGAGAGAACATAATTGAGGTTGTAAGAGTTATAAACAAAAAAAATGGTAAACGTAACATGCCCTATATATATATATATATATATATATATATATATATATATATATATATATATATATATATATATATACACGGAGGATTATATTTACAAACTGTTTGTTTACAAACTACACTATATTTTTCTGAAAGAACTCCAGGTTACACTATATTCTCTTATCCTGAGAGTACAAAATGTAATTTATAAAAATTTATAAAAAAAAACTTATAAACAAATCATTTTCCTAAATATATTAAAGAAAACATAGCCCAAAAGACCGAATTAAATTAGATGATCAAGTGGGATAAAGTAAAAAGAGTGGTTGGTCAGTGTGAATGTGAACTGGGAACAGCGATCAACTTTACTTGTGCAATGGCAGCTAGGACGTTGATCTTTCTTTCTTTTCTCTTAGATTCTCCCGCCAAGGAAGGGACAGAAAGAAAGGTTTTATACTCAGCTAAGTGTACAGAAAGCTCGGTGTCTCTTTATACGGTTATGGCAAGGACATTGATGTCATTTTCTGGTCTCTTTCTCAGGTACCCAAGCGATGCAGATAAGCATCTGTTGGCACGACAGACTGGCCTATCGAGAAATCAGGTTCGTCCCCTCCACTCTTTGCTTTCCACAATTCATCAAAGTAGACACACGAGAGAGAGAGAGAGAGAGAACCGCACTATTTTATTTTATTTTATTTTTGTTAGTCTCTCTGTAATTAATTAATTACATGCACGGACCACATAAGAATAAAGAAAAAAAAATGAAAGTAATGTTCGTGGATGGAATAAGGGACCAGCAGTAAGTTCAGATGTAACTTATATGGTTTTGGGTTTTGTTTCTTTGGTTTCTTCTGTCTTTTCTCTTCCCTTTAGACAAAGACAAACACAAACGCGCATTGTTTCTTTTTCCTCTATTATGTCTTCCAATTTTTCTTTTTCTTTTTTCAATTTTCTTTTTACTTCGGATTCTTTTCCTTCATCACATAAATTTGAATTTGAAAGAGCAGGCTTAAAGAGATAAAAGATTGATGTTTTGCTGTTTTTCTCATAAAACAAAAATGAAAAGTTTGCTGTTCTCGAATCTTGCTCACTCATTTTCTCTCTCATATCATCAATTGGCTTCACTTCACCCAACTACACAATAGGGACCATAAATAAGGGAAATAAATGGTGTTCGGAGATATTGTAATCTCTTCGTGGTAAAGTCCAGAATAGATCTTTTTACGTGGAAAAGTGATCATTTAATCATGTTATTTAATCACAATCACTTAGTGATGATAAGATGAGAGAGAAGAAAATATATAATTTTAAATGAGTGATTGTGATTAAATAACATAACTACATCACTACTTTTTGACATGAAAAGATCCAAATCCAAATTCCTCAAATTTATGCCTTCTTTACTCAGCTAATTAATGCCATATTACTACATATTCGTGGAACTTCAATTTCGTCTGCTAACTCATTTATGTTATTTTATTTTTCTTTCAAATTTACATAATCAGGTGGTTTAGAATATCACATTCCCATAAGATAAGGTCCATTATTGATTTTCATTTGACACGTTCTATCTGAATCATTAATGTCTTCTTTTGTACACAAAAACTGTCAGACACATAAAGACAGCTCAAAACTAAATTTCCACAATGATATTACCTTACTCCATAAAAATATGGTGTCCATTATTTTCGTTAAACAGTACTTTTCTCCTGTATCTTCCTAATGGTTTTTTGTGCATCTGCATATTCTGCACTAAGAGTGTACCTTGTATATTCCCTGAAACACCTAAAATCCAAAAGCTACTGCTACCTTTGAACACATGTAATTTGAGAGGAATAAAAAACGCCTATTAACTCCCTACCCCGTACCTATATATATGCCTACACCCTATAATAGTCAGGGATATATGTGGTGAAGGACTAGACTTCTGGAGTTTATAGACACATAAGGTCATACAAAGTACTGTCCTAGCTTCTAAGAAGAAACTGATGATAAATAGTTTTGTCTGTTAGAGACTATATATATGTATAATTGCATTATCATTCAAATCTGTCATTTTACAGTCCTGTATGTCACACCACACAGAAGATACTTCCAGGGCCTAATCACAATTTATCATGGAGGGACAAACAACAATGAGTCAGAAAGCTTTCTTTTTTTGTTTCTTTTTTTTTTCCTTGTGCTGATTATATTATATATTGAATTATTGAAATTATATATTTACTTACAGCAATATACTGTAAGTGTTTTTAAATATGTTATTTGTACCCACTAAAATTTCAATTTACATAATTTTTATGTTGATTACAGATAATTCAATTATCAATTAATAAAAAAAATATAAAATGTTTAACGAATTAGTAATCTGTTACCAGATAATTGAGATTCATTAAACAATTTATATAGCTTGTTAACTAATTTATTGAGTTATAACTAATTAGAATAAAAATAATGCAAAATTTTCCTTTTCATTATGACGTGTTAAATGAATGTTTAAATGTGACTATTTGGCAAAGACATGTGTGTGCACTTATTATATATACTAATACGCATAATGTTTGAATTAGAATAATTTGTGATTCTCTGAATTTCTTTGTAAGTCACACTTTAAAACGTCGTAGCACAGTTATTAATATGTACACCATTATACTGTAAATTATGAATAGCGTCAATGAATATTGAGAAGCCTTGGATGGATTGAACGTGCATGTTTCAGGTATCAAACTGGTTCATAAATGCCAGGGTTCGTTTGTGGAAACCCATGGTGGAAGATATGTACCAACAAGAACTTAAAGAAGCAGAGGGAGGAGCAGAAGAGAGAGAAAGGAACCAAAGCAAAAGCAGTAGCAGCAACAACAGTAGTGGCCACCTAGCACAAACTCCAACACCCTCAACCACAGCATCAACAGCAACAGCGCCACCACCACCACCCCCAACAACAACAACGACGACACAAACAACAGCACCAACAGGCAAAAGATCCGATATCAATGCAAACGAAAGCGACCCTTCACTCGCAGCATTTAATAGACAAGGCTTCTCGGAAAACAAAGCAAAGCAATCCCCCTCTACCACCGTCACCAACACCATTATGGCTCCTAACACCGCCACCAGAGCCACCGCCTCTGAGGTGGCGCCACCTGTGCCCCAGGGTTTCGACTCTGACGATTCGTGTCGGCATGGAACATTGGTTACAGCAGAATATGGGACCACCGCTTCTGCTACTTCTGACATTGGTGCTACTCTCATTAGGTTTGGGACCACCGCCGGTGACGTGTCACTCACCTTAGGGTTACGCCACGCCGGGAACATCCCTGAGAAAACAACTTTCTCTGTTAGGGACTTTGGGGGCATTTAAACTTCCCTTTATTACTTCACATGACATAATAATAATAATAATACGTATATATAGGAGGTTGCTTTATTATAGTTTTATGATATATATATATATATATATATATTAAAAAAAAACCATTTTTTTTTCACCTTTAATTTCTCTCATATTCCTCCCTCTTTAATTTGCATTTTGTGGAAGGAAAGGAAGAAGGGAATACGATATGAGAAATTAAACGTAGCCTGATAACACTGATTATGTTATCAGCTAGCTAGATAGCTCTGTGATTATTTATAGGAAAATGTACTTCTCCGATTGTTGTAGATTTTTTTTTTTTGCAGCAACTCATAGAAAGTCATGATATTTATGTGGATCCTAATTTTTTTTTTAAATGCTAGAATCCATATATGGATCCTATTGAAAATGTGATTGCTGCAAAAAATTTATCTGTAGCAACAGTAGTAAGTCACGAACCCTTATTTATATAACTGTATAATACTAGCCTAGTTTGCATGTCTTTTCGTTTTTACCACTTATATGTACTTAATTAAGGTTTTGTACCTTTAGGACTTGATATAATTAATAGAATAATTAACAAGTTTTTATATTTCTCATATGTAGAGCCAGATTGATAGTCTTGTATAAAAATAATATATGCTGTCCTGATCTTCAATTCGATTTCCCATTTGTTATAATGCGAAGTAATGAAAGAGCTAAATTATCTTAAGCATATTGCGGCAATCATGCATATCAAAATATGCATGCTCTCTATTATATTTCGCAGCCGCTTTTGTGTTCTCTAATTGTGAAGGATGCAACAATAAGTTATTTTGACAATATACCCTATATATATTCCTTAATAAAATTCTAGGACATTTCCTTTGGTAGTGATTAAAAAGATAAAGTTGAAACGGTCGAATCTTTCATCTTTTTTAAAAGAGAAAAAGAATATAATCATAGTTTTCGGTGACCTGTTTATCTTGTCTTCAAAATATTTTAAGATTTGATTCATTGTAGAACTCACCTAAATAAAATATAAATTGTAAAGATAAATACTACTTATTAATATAATTTCCATTAACACATAAGCTGAGAATTGGTTGCTTATGAATTTATGCATAAGGAAAAATCAAATCCCCACAACATGAAACCATACTAAATCTCCAGATTAGGACGGTTTATTGGATACATATATACACCTACAACTTGTCAATTCCGTTTCTGTTATATGTAGTTAATATGTTTACTGTGTAGAAATTAATATACGGAATTCGATGTATACGTAAACAAAGGCCACATGTTTGTTCCGTAAAAACTAATACAAAAACTTGCAAAGCAACAAGTACTTCCCACCTAATATCTTTCTTGCGGTTTGAGAAACTCCTCGTTTTTCCAACCGAAAGTTAGCCTCATCGCCCTCGAATTGATTTATTAGGTTGTTCTGCAGCACCGATCAAGGTTGCTTTTTGAATATTCAGCTATACATGATTTTCACATGTATTATTCTTTAATAGAATACTAAGGCATTTTCGAATGTTCTTTCTAAAAACAGTATTTTTGTTTTTAGAAGAAAAAAATTATTTGATAAGCCTGTTTTATTTAAAAAAAAAAAGTAACTATTTTTTATTTTAGAATTATTAGAGAGATATAAAATAATTAATTTAGTCTCACTCATTGCCTTAAGATTTTGGGTTGAAGTGGCGCTTATCATGGTATTAGAGCTTTAATGACTAAAAGGTTACGAGTTCGATTCTCACTGCGCCTACTTTCAGGTGGAATTAAGAAAAGCACAAGACAGACAAAAAAAGATGGGCTTATGCAGCACAAGACAGACCAAAAAAAATGGACTTGTGTCATATCCATGTTTCAAGCCCAAAGAATACTTACGTGAGGGGAGTGTTAGAGAGATATAAAAAAATTAATTTAACTTCACCCAATACCTTAAGGTTTGTTTTGTGTTTTGACTTTAAACTTTCGAAACAAAAAAAAAAACACATAAAACATATGTTTTCATTTTCCATAATTTTTCTCCAAAACAATTTTAAGAAAAAAGAAAAATAAACAGAACACAATCAAATAAACTCTAAATTTATGGTATTTTTGTGCCCAAAAGAATACGTTTTGCGATTTGCGCAAAACATGTGGAATAGCTAGCTAGAGAGTTACGCACGCGGCTGTGAAAAAAAATTCAAAATAAACCAATAACCATTTGTTCAGGTGACAAGAAGTTTAATTTGTTTCCTTAATTATTAGTCTTGAGGGAATGCATAAAATAATATTGACAGAGTCACCCGTAATATAGGTACGATAGTATTCGAAATGGATTATTTAATAAGAAGCCTTATATATGCACCCTCTCACTATAATTTTTTTTAATAAGGTTAGTAATTTAAGAAATAAAATTCAAAGGGAGAGTTATATATGCACCCTCTCACTATAAATTGGCTTCGGTCATAAGGCTATTTTGTACAAACAAGTAACATATTTTGTGAATTGCAAATAGTCGGGCAAAAAATCCGTAATAATGTTATTTTTCAAATGTATCTCCATACTAAAACACATTTGAAAAGAATGGCCATACTAGAGCAGTCAAACACGTAGGTTTGACTGACGAGATAAGTCCCGCCAGTGAGAAAGACGAGATCAGAAGCCACGTAGGAAGCCCAACCAATCGCGTCAGTCCATGTCACGTGTTTTCCACGTATCCCGCCACCTGTTGTGACATGTATCAGTCCCGCCATGTCAGTTGGCGAGACTAAGCCACGTGTGTGACACATCCGCAGTTCTTGTGACGCGTTCCAGCCACCCCAAATACTAATAAAAAAAAGAATTACTATTAAATCATGCCAATTACATTAATTATATTGTCCTAAAGCATTTTTTGCAACATTTTAATGTTAATAAATTATTTTGTATTAAAATTCATTTACTAATAATTATTAAAAGAACCATTTCATTTTACTAATAATTATTAAAACAAATTTACTAATAAATATTAAAACAAATTTACTAATTAACATATGCATTTACTAAAAAAACAAATTTATTAATATTTTGCCGACCAAACACGGTGGCATGAAAGTAACTGAAAACAAATAAAATGAAAGTTATAAATTTGTTTTTTTTAATTAGTAAATAGTGGCTCATTTGTTTGCGTAATTAATAAATAAAATAAATATTAATATTAATCAAATATAATAATTATAACATACCTGCATATGTTAACTTAGTCATCATTAGTTTAATAATTAAATAATAATCATGTCATTAAAGCCCTTTTCAAATATTCTGCATTAATTAAGAAAAATAATTTTAGAATCCTTAGTAGGCATCAAAAAATTATTCCTAAGATAATTATTGAGGAATAATTATTAATCAATGTAATTTTGGCTTTTGGTAAACAGTGATTAATGTCATAATTATGTTGTAATTTTAATTAGTGACCTGATTAATAGTAATCATATTGAAATTTACAATGCTTTAAAAACCATGTTAGAAAACTAAGTTGTTAATATTGAAAATTATAAACATTAATCTGAAATAGTAATTTAGATTGAATATATATATCATAATTACAATTATTAATTATTGAAATCGTAATAATTGTTTTAATAATTATATAATTGCAGATCTCATGTTAATGAATAAAACCTAAGAAAAAACATATTAAGTTGATTTAATAACTATTAAAAAGGTAAATAAATAGCCATTACCATTTATTGAATTAGTTAAATATTATTCATGCTATTAAATCTTTTATACAAAATAATTTATTAACATTACAATGTTGCAAAAAATGCTTTAGGACAATATAATTAATGTAATTGGCATGATTTAATAGTAATTCATTTTTTTATTAGTATTTGGGGTGGCTGGAACGCGTCACAAGAACTGCGGATGTGTCGCACACGTGGCTTAGTCTCGCCAACTGACATGGCGGGACTGGTACATGTCACAACAGGTGGCGGGATACGTGGAAAACACGTGACATGGACTGACGCGATTGGTTGGGCTTCCTACGTGGCTTCTGATCTCGTCTTTCTCACTGGCGGGACTTATCTCGTCAGTCAAACTTACGTGTTTGACTGCTCTAGTATGGCCATTCTTTTCAAATGTGTTTTAGGATGGAGATACATTTGAAAAATAACATTAGTACGGATTTTTTGCCCAAATAGTCGTGATAATCATGGATCAATGCTTGCAATAGACTGCTTTGAGCAGCTAAATTGAACGGTCTTATCTATGACAATGAGTGAGTTATTTGGTTGGTGTTATTGTGGCTAGCTAGCTCAAAAGTTTAATTTAATTTTGCTCTTTATAGTAATACTAAATTTCTATGGTAATTTTGGTTCTCATAGTGACATGAGATGTTGATGTGTTGGAATAGAAAACGATGTGTGTTAAACTTTTAACTTTCTTGATGCATTAACATTTAACATCAAGAGGGAGATGGTAGGGTCCTTGATTCATTAACATTTAACACCAAGATAGAGAAGGTAGGGTCCTATGCAGAGACACATTATTGTAGATTCATGAACATTTAAGACCGCAAGATGGAGAAGATGGGGGGTTCCACACCATAAGACCACACCCTAATCGATTATGAAGGGAATCCCCACTACAGAATGGTTTATTTGTCTTGTCTGGCTGTGCAACACAACACTTGCACATTCAATGGGAAGAGAAGACATCCAAAATTTTGATATTGGGGCCCAATGACCCCACTCTTCTGAGCACCAATGAGCACGTTGCAGAGGGAAGATATACAAACAAATTGGGCTGGGCCCCTCATTTGCCGTATGCCAGAATGAAGAGAAGGTACCCATCGATCAGAGACTCAAATGCTCAATAGGTGGGTCCCCAATGAAAATTCTTATAAATAAAGATGAAACGAGAGGGACTAAAAATTAAAGTAAATCCAAGAATTAACTATTATATCAAAATAAATATTGTTAACCATCAAATTAAGACCAGGATACAGAATTTTATTTTGGATAATAATATCGTAACAAAAAATGGTCCGAAGGTGCATGCATGATATTGTTCCCAAAAATATTTCTTCCTTATTTTTTAATTTGTAGAATAAAAATGGTTAAAAATAATTCGTAATAAAATTATTTTATTTTTTTTAGGAAATAAACCACTACTCCAGAAGAATAAATAGACTCCACAAATAAGAATTTTTTATTTTTTTCCTTCACACACTATTTATTAAATACAGATATCGTAAAATGTATTATTATAATTGAATATATATTATTCACTAATACACATTCTCTTTTTTAGGGAATAAATATTGAGAAATTATATTCTTACGTTATATAAGATTCATCTCTCATGTTATATTTACATAAAAAAATGTGTTTCTCTCTTTTTTCAATTTTTTTTAAATTGCTAGACCTCACTTAATTTATCTCACAACATAAGATAACTTCTCTCCTAGAATACGAGAGAAAAGTAAATCCTATAAATATTTAGCCCAACAATTTGTCATGCACGTCCTCAATGTGCCAAGAGGTCTAGCT